AAGAAAATCAAGGGGAAAAATACATTTGCTTTCATTTGATACCTGCACAGTGTTCGGCAGCAATAGCCACAACATATCTGGAATAAATAAAAGCAACCATGCTGCTTACTGTGCTGACTCATCTGCTTAAGACTTCAGGTATATCTGTGAAGATTTTCAGCCATCCAGGTGTAGTTATCTGGAAGTTGAGTCATGTCAACTGGACTTCTTTCTTATTAGTTTTAAATGTCTTGCTTCTCATCCAAGTAGCTTCTACAGTATTCAGGTAATTAAGTCAAAGAGTCATGCAATATGTGTGAAATTCAACACAAGCTCTAAGCTTCCTTTCCTTTTATTCAGTGTCCTTTTTCTCAGTTTTGCAATCATACACAGTACTATTCTTTCCCCATCAAGAAAAAAATTGAAGAGAAATGAAGAGCTGAGGGAAACTCTTGAGGGTAAAGCCAAGTTTGCAGTCTCTTTCCCTCCTCATGTCAGAAGCACCACAGTACCATGAACAAATACACCAGATAATTGGTTGCCTGATAACAGCAACTTCAAGATTAAATAGGCCAGCTAGCACCAAACCTTCCATAGTGCATGTTGTGGGGCACCAAATATACTGACATAAGTGTAAAGTTGCCTATTCTTGTTGGGACTTGCAAAGAACTGTGTTGATGCAAAAGCCTCATTTTCTTAGACTCACCTGGCCCTGCCAAACCCAATCCATAGTTATCTGACTCCAGTCCATAGCGATTTCCAAGTAACTCACTTCTTTGTGCAACTGGGGACTAGAATTTATTGGAGTTCCATCCATTCTGAGGGGTGGGGATTTCTTTCTTCTTTCCACATTATAGCCTCTGCTGTTCCTTTGAGATTAACAGGTGTTCTGAAAAAAAAAGTTTTCCTTGATTTTAAAATGGGAGGGGTGAGATGGTATTCAAAACATGGATGTGCATTTGATGGAGATGCTTTGAGTCCATCACTATTAGCTCCTTTCTCTGTATGTCACAGAGTACAATGCCTGCTAGGTCACTTTATCAATAGGAGTTGGCTTTAGGCACCCATTAATGATTCTTCATTTACCTGTTTTGCATGGGCTGATCTATACCACACCGGGCTGGTGTACTTGCCTACAGAGTAGCATAGGAACAAACCTGTAGCTCTTGGTGTTTGTGGTTGTGTGTCCCATCTGGTTCTTGGTAGCTTATTATTCTTTATGGAGATCTTTCATTTTTTGGGCACTGTTTCTTATAGGTCAGAATACAATCCAGAGATAACACCTAAGTATCTGGGGGCCAAAGAATGATCTGGTTGGATACCCTTTCAGATAATTTGAAGCCTCAAAGATGCCTGCTTATTTCTCAGATGAAAGGCATAAATTTGAATCTTAGCAGGGTTGGGTTTAAGTTTGTTTCTATCAAAATATGTACCAAGTTCTTCTAATGCATTCGTCAGAAAGCATCATTAGATGAGTCTTTATAATTACTATTTGCACATAAATCTGCAAATAGGTATGATGGGCTTGCAAAAGAAACACTGTAGTTTCACACTAACTCCTTGTACCCACCCAATAGCAAAATCCAAAGAAGTTGGGTTTGGTTTTTAACAGCAAAGTTCTCATCCCTAATTTCTGGGGTTACAGTCTGGTTTGCCAACATCTCAGTCAGCCTCTATTGCTGCGTTTTCAAAACCAACCTGATCTACAGGGATTAGCAAACACAGCTTGCCAAACACAGAGATGAAACCTGCAAATTGAGGCTGACCAAACAGTCACCTAGACAAAAAAGGCAAAAAGTTGATAAATGTATTTGGGTACCAAATTCTTTCCAGGGAATGCCTTTAGTTAAATCCTATGCACACATAATTCAGAATAGGCCCCATTAAACCCTGGGGGATTTGATCTTGTTGACAAATATGAAACCAAATTCCCCTTTAGTTCTTATCATTCAATGGCAGGTGCAAAAACAACATGCAGATTATTATAATAAACATATGTCTGTTTGCACAAAGCAAGTACAAGCCCTTAAAATTATTGAAAATATTTATGATCTATGTATTTATACACATATAAGTGTACGTTTATATATATATTCATTATTTATATGTTATATATTTATATATTCATTAAAGATTAATATTTATTATTGTACCCACCACTGTTTGATATCTATAGTGCTACTGCATCTAACAGTAATAAATTTCCCACTCTGTCTAAGAGTGAACACAGTTGTACAGGACCAGAGCTAAGACAGAGGTACCACAAAACAAAGGAAGTTTCAATATACTTATTTCTGTAGAAATATCCAAACAAAGCAAAACAACGCATTGCCATCAAATGCAGAATGATGGGAATGGAAGTAAAAATCATGGAGTTGTATTGCTGGAAAGGATAATCTAGCCCCCTGGTTAACAAAGGAAGTTTCAATATACTTATTTCTGTAGAAATATCCAAACAAAGCAAAACAACGCATGGCCATCAAATGCAGAATGATGGAAATGGAAGTAAAAATCATGGAGTTGTATTGTTGGAAAGGATCATCTAGCCCAAGGCACTATCAAAGGCAGGAATCCACACCTAAAGGCAAGGCTGAAGAGAAGCCAAGGGCGAGAGAAGCATGCTCCCTGCTTGGAGGGAAAGGCTAGCATTTGGAGTGCAACATCCAACCACGCCACATGCACCTCTTCAATCAAGCTGTGATGGGAGTTTGTAGCTACTGAGTTAAGAAACGCCTGTCTAACCCAGGATTAAACAAGGACAGAAAGTTCAAACTGAATAGGTTATAGGTATTTTCTGGCCTCAATGAGAATGCTAATATACTGAGGGTTAGGATTAGGTTATGGTTACAGATAGTATAAAGGTTTATTAGGATCAGGATTTTGCATCTACATTCTGTATTTTCTGACCAGTTAGAATTCTAACACTCCCTTCTCCCTAAAGATGGGCCAACCAGCTGGTAATCAGTTTCCATCATCTGCTCTTCTCTGCATCACAATTAACTGATAAACAGCATGATTTTAAAAAATTCCCAGTGCATTACATTGTGAGTGCATGAATTACTGATGAATAGAAGAGTCTGCAAATGTGTGTAAAAACAAAAACACGTGTTGAGTAATAACTCATTAGGACTACTGAAATGTGATCAAAATAGTGTAAGCTTTTGTGCTCTCCAGAGCTCTTAGTAAGACAAGAAGTTAAAAAATGAAGGGGCATATTTGCATGTATTTTTGCACGGGTGCTTAGATTTATCTCCCCCAACCCTGCTAGTTTGTTGATATTTCTATAATGGGCAGTGGTGTCATGGGAAATTTGGACCCGACAGTGCCCATTACAGCAGTCCTCGCAGCAGCTTCCTCTATGAGGTCAAAAAAGCATGCAGCCACATCAGTCCATATCAATAAATTAGGGACAGGTCTTTTGTAAAGTCAATGGTGCTTAATTGCACTTTCAGGACCAAATATCACCTTAATATGCTTTGCATTATAATGGCAACCACCTGCAACATTTGTCCCATTCCTTGGAAAAACAATGAGCGGGTGGAGGGAGTGGGTAGTCTCATATTCATTAATATTCAGAAAGTCTTGAGGCCTCAACTCTTTGAAACCCTGGCTCCAATACGTAAGTTATAATTGGCTGAGAATTTTGTGTGGGCAGTCAAGTGGTCATTGTGTGTCGACTGCTGATGTCTATTCATATACCTTTAAGAGGGTGCTGTATTCATAGCCTTAGTATGATTTCAGAAATAATGCAGCTGCATGAATAGGAGTGATATGCATATATTAGCTAAACTACACAGAAAGGGTCTTTATAAAACAGACATGATGCCTTAGGAAGCTGCTGACTGGCCTTTCTTATTTGCATCTAATAAAGTTCAGCTATGAGGTGTGTGCTTTTCTTTTGCAGGAGGTCTTGTTTTATTTTGGGGTTTAGATAGATTGCATGCTCAGCTACAGGTAAGGTGGAAGCCGGGAATAGGAAAATCATGAATTAAAATCTGCACTTCCCCTCAGAAGGCCAACCCTAACATCTGGGAATGAGGATCTTCCTTAGTTGATCAGGGATGCTATTTACCACAGAACACTTTATTTCAGCGAAACTAACAGTCTTTTTGGAAGAAGCTGCAGAAATATAAAATGTTTATTCATCTAAAGAAAATTCTTTTACGCTAAGGCTCCCTGGGCAACACTCAGTTTTTGGGAAAAGAAGAACTCCTCTAGAAATGGCTAGCAGGGCTTCTAAACTACAAGCAGCTCCTGCAAATGTAGAGTACGTCGTCAACAGGCAGGGTCCTCTTCCTATGCTTTGCAGAAGTCTGAATTAGTAGCCCATCTGACAGTTGGGGGAGCTGCCCGAGAAAAATGAAATTTTCTGAAGAAACCTGACTCAAAGCACATAGTTTTGCTTCCTATTCATTCTCTTTGGGCGCCAGCAGAGGGACCTATTTCCTTTACAGTGTTTTGTTTCTAACTCTTAATTTTCGTTTTTTTATTTTTATTTTGAGAAAGACAGTTCTAAATTGCACCTCTATTTATTTATTTATTTATTTATTTGTTTGTTTATTAAAGTGCCTTCTGATAAAACAGTCATAAACTACGTGGTTACGACTGTCCATAGACCTCTGGGCTTGTTGACTAAAGGGAAAATAAATCTCTCACGGTCTTTACAAGGGTAGCCCCTCCCCACACTTTGCAACATTATGAAACGGTTCCTCCGCCTCAACCCCCTCCTCCATTCTTAAAAAAAATCACACAGTTACACCTACATTCCAAAGCTATTCCTCCAGTCCCGAAACGGGCGGCGGTGGAAGGAGGGGGGGAAAGGGCAGGATACACCCTAGCCACGGTGGAATTCTGGGACACGTAGTCCCGTGGGGAGGCTCGACTTAAAAAAAAAGTACCCTGCACGCTACCGTCCCAGACTACAAATCCCAACATGCCAGGGTTCCTGGGAGGTGGGGATAGGGGCGGAGTCCGTTTCGTTAGCTGTTATCTGCATCTGGTATTTTCCTATAATGATGTGGTGCTGCTGGTGCCCGCGAACGGGCTGGTAATTGAGAACAGCCGTTTGTATTTGCAGAGAGACTTCCTCGCTTCTCTTAAAGGCGCAGGCGGAGCCGCGGGAGAAGAAGCGAGCATATTATTATTTTTTTGTGTGTGCGATTTTTTCCCTCCCGATTGGGCGAGGATAACATATAAGTAATGTGTAAAACAATCAGTGCAACAATTTAAAAAAAAAACACGCCATCTTGCGGGCAAAGTGGTTCGTTGGATTTTCTCTCTCCACACTCTTTTGTAGCGCTCAAAGAAGTGGTGAGTTGACTTAAACCTCTCTTTCGCTTCCATCCCTTGTTATCGGAGAGGAGGGATGTTCATCGGGGCGCGTGCACGTGGGAACGGTTCGCCCGAGTAAGCGAACAGGGCGGCGTTGAGTTCGGGTTGCTTCCCATGCTGACCCCTCGGGAAGCAGCAGCAGAAGTCCGTCAAGTAAATGTAAGAAGTTTTGTAATCGATTTCCGCGGCGGCGGCGGCGGGTCACACAATGCATTTGGGAAGAGGCATTCACGTGCAGAAGGAAGGCAAGAAGGCGCGTGGCACCGCGTGGGAGCAAACATTTGCTCCGGTCCGCCCCTTCCCTCCGCCTGGCCGAGGCATTTTATTCGCTGGGCGGGTGGGAAGGAAGGCTCGGGCAGCGACCAGCCACCATTCCGTCCTCCTGGCTTCTCTCTGCCGCCCGCCCGGCGGGGAGCATTCCTGCCTGGCCTCCGGGGGAGGAAGAGGCTGGGAGGAACGGAGCGCAAAGCACGACCCGAAGCCAGGCGAGCTCCGGGCTGACCACATTAGACGGAGTGAAAAGGGAAGTGGGGCACGGCGGGAGAGGCTCGGGGGCCCCGCCGTCGCGGAATGGGACGGGGCGTCTGCTTGGCCCGCTTCCGTGGCAGGCGCCGCGGGCTGGAGGCGTCCGAGTGACTCCCTCTTTCTCATTCCTCCACTCCCCCCCCTCTCCCCGGACAGGTCGCTTGCTCGCCATGGCTTCCAAGTTTCTGCGGGCGGTGGTCTTGGGGCCCCCCGGCTCGGGCAAAGGCACCGTGTGCGAGAGGATCGCCAAGAGTTTCGGCCTCCAGCACCTTTCCAGCGGGCAGTTCTTAAGGGAGAACATCAGGGCCAACTCCGGTAAGTGGGCGAGGAGCGGAGGGAGAGCCGCCCGCTGCTTTGCGAGCCTCCATCTGGTGTGTACGTGCCTGGTCGCATGCCGAGGGGAGGGGGTGGGAACGGCATCGGTGGGCTTTGGATGGCGCCCTGGGTGGGTTCGGGCAAAACCGTCGTCCGATCGCGGAAAGAAGGGGCAGGTGGGGCACGTTGTTCTCTGGGAGCCCGGAGCGATCGCCGTGCAGTAAGTATTTGGTGGCTGACCGCTTTAGACCGTCGGAGCCTTCACTTCGCTGTAGTAAGTCCATTTGACTCAGGTAGGGCTCCTCCACCGACTCTTGACTTGATCTCTTCTCCTTAACTGTACTAGCCCGGCTAGGCAAAGACAGTGATCGGATGCAGCCTACAACAGCCTCTTCCTAGTATTGCCTGGAGTGATGAGACACTCGGGCGCTTAATCCAATTAGCAGCAGAATATTCTCCGCATGTTTGCTCAAAAGGAAGCCCCTCTGAGGCATATTTCTGGGTAGTTGGCTCCAAGATCGAAGCCCAAGGCGTCAGTGAGGGTGGGGAAAATAAGCCTCATTGAACCCAATATATGTGAACAGGACAGCACCAGGAATGCACCAGTGTAAATCAAATGCCTTGAAAAGTACAGCCTTACATCCCTGCCTAACTGAGCTTAGAAGGAAGAGAGGGGGCAAACCCCTCAGACGTGCAATTTCCATATATATATATATGCTTGTATAGTTATAAGGTAGCTTGTTAGCGACTGTCAGGTGTGAGCTACAGCTGCAATAAACCACTTGTTCAGAAGTCACTTAGTGGGTCTTGCTTCTAAGTAGAAATGTACAGTATAGCCGATCTTCCGAGCCCCTGGTTCTACACGTGGGTTCTTTCCCACTCCCACAGCTTGTACTGAAAACAATCTGGAATTCATCAGCCCCATTATGTTAGTCATAAGGCGAACCAAGTACTGAATATGCTGAATTAAATTCATTCAGTTCGTGGGGCGTTGTTATTTTAGGCACTGCTGTGCAAATTAAAGGGATGCTGCTACTTTTTCTTTTCTTTTTAAAAGCAGTGAGTGTGGTGTCTGCACAACAGCACTCTATAGGGGTGGTAAAGTATGGTTCCAAAAAAAAAAAAGTGCTTTCTTCAGCGAGCTTTGTTGGGCTGCTTTCTGCTCTAAGCACTTTGGCTTCACGCCCCTTGTGTCCTTCTTTGTTTGCTGTCTTCTCATCCTGTGGTGTAACCATCACTTTTTGGGTTTACATTGGCTTAATTGATCATATGAATGCCTACTTATCCTGGACATTATCGGTTATTGCAGCATGATCATCTTCCTGTGTTAAAAGAAGGTGACTATAAATTGCATAGGCTGCCCAGTAGTATTCCGATGGATAGATAGCTATATACTCTCACTTTACATAGCTCCCTAAATGTCAAGTTTTCTCTCGTAAGCTGTAGTATAAAGATAATATGTCTGAAGTTACATATAAAAGAGGCAAGTCAAGTGTGTTGCAATGGATTATGAAATAGCAATAGTTTAGAAAATGACCTTGTGCAAGGCATAGAATCAGATATTGGTTGACAGCTGATCCCAACTCTGAGCTGAAGCATGGGGGCGGGGAGGGATTGTTTCCAAGACTTAGGGCAATAATGTCTTTGGGCTCCTTTAAAAGGAGTTGCAGGCATTTGCTTGCAATACTCTTGATTTCTAATTCTGATGCAGTTTTGTTCCCTGGTGATTGTACCATCAGGTAGTATGACATAGCCACCTCAGGCACAAATATGGTGGATGTTGTAAAATGGCAGCAAAATATTTATTGAGTTTCTTCTAAAATGTAGCCTGGGATCTGGAGAATGGTTTATGAGATTTTCTTCCTCATGTACCAAAATAACTTTGTTGGCTTAGTCTGCTGTTCACCTTACTGTGACTAGTCGGTGACGGCACCATTTGGTGCTTCACCACATACAACAATTATGGCTTAACCGGGCTTGTGTTCTGCCCTTTCTAAATGTTATTTGCCATATTGGTAATGGATGTGGTATTATTTGTGGTTTTATTATATACATAACAATTAGAGAAGGGATCAAATCAAGCTGCCTGTACAACCTCTCTGTCTTTTATATATGTGAGAGTAAACTATAATTTAAATCCATAAATAGATACTTAAATAGCTTTATTGTGTATTCAAATTACATTACCACTGTATTTGTTCCAGGGCTGAAGTTTAGTGCTTTAATAGAAAGCTCTTAGAGGCTGATACCAGGTAGAATACAGAAAAAAATCATTACAACAAAAATTAATCGGTCATTTTGCTGTTGAGTTATTTATTGTATGAACTGTTATTTGCCTGCTCTATGTGTAGTACTCCTGAACAAGTACTGTAAATATGTACAAAACAGAAAGTGATAGAGATACAGCTGGGAAATTGTATGGTGCCTAAGTGGAAGTTTAGGGGTTCTGTGTCCTTAATTTGTAAACTTCCCAGAATAATGTTTCCAATAGAGGGGTGGTATATAGATCAAATGAAAAAAAAAACCCAATTAAGAGCGCTTTTTAGTATGAAGACCTTAAGTAGAAGATTTTAAAGTATTATGACTTCTGTTAATTGCCTTGACTGACTTGGATTAGTCTTGCTTTCTCTTTCATAAAATATGGTAAAGCCAGACTAGGTAGGGAGATCATCCTGTAGAATTTCTTAGAATTGTTGCAGGTTGGTTGCAGGAGAAATATTACTGTAAAGCAAGGGTCTCAAACATGCGGCCCGGGGGCCATTTGCAGCCCCCCAGATGATAGTTTGTGGCCCTCGCTTTGCCTGTCCTCCCAAAGCGCTCACACATCCTCTGCTGTCAAGAGTAAAAAAAAGCCTTGCCTCGCTCGCCGGCTCTCTCCCAAGACAGCACCTTTTGCACCCTCCATCCAGAACTGCAGCCTGCCAGCCAGCCCACCTGTCTGTCGGCTAAGGAAACTCTTGGGCGGCTTCCTCGGGCTCTTGCTCCGCTTGGCGGGAAATCTGATGCGGTCCAGCCTCACCCAGACTTTGCCTCTAGCGGCTCCCAGGTAAATTGAGTTTAAAACCCCTGCTGTAAAGACATATGACCAGTTAATATACAGTGGGACAAGATCAGACTTGTGCATAAGGTTCCTATTAAAACCAGCAGGATGCCTACTTGCTTAAATTAGGCCAGATCATATCAAAGAAATATGCTATTGAATACAGTACCTTGATATGAAACACAGCCCTAGGAAGCAACTAACATGGATTTCAGTAGAGGTTTTTCTATGAGTAAGTGGGTCTAATGTTGAATCCTCCCAAACAGTAATTTGAAAGACTTAATGAATTTAGATGCCCTTGTTATATTCCCTATTAATGTGCTGCTATAGGACTTATTTAAATTAGAGTCTTATTGTATCTACGTGTGTGTGATATTTCATCTAGTAGTTTCAGTAGAGCTGAACGCATTGCATTAAATATTGAAAATAGTAGATCCACTTATGTATGACTTACTTAGCTAAAAGCTTAAAGGGAAAATAATTGAACTATTTTTCTTTATATTCAGTGTTTGCTGCAGAAAATAAGCAGTAATGTGCTGTTTGAAACATTGTCAAATTTTTCCATGTTATGAAAGTAAAAAAAGGCATAGCTTTCAAACAAAGTAATTTAGTTTAATGAATGGATCTGACAATGAATGAAATCTTTAAAATTATGTTTCCGGTTGTTCAGTAATATATCTTGTCTCTCATTTGTAAAGTAAATTGCCTAGTTATTTTAGGAAGCACATACATTTCTACCTTATAAATAAAATAAAATAAGATGTTGTAGCAAAATTGGGCATTACCTTGACACAGAACATATGACCCTAAAACTATTGATAAACTATTGATCACTCCTATCATCCCTCACCAGTGGCCAAGATAGCTGGGGTTAATAGGAAATGGAGCTCAACAACATCTGAATGGCCACAGATCTTCCTGGTCTCGTCTTATATACGGGTAGGGTGGTGCCTGGACTTATAAGCTTAATCCGCTCCAGAAGATGTTCGTAAGTCAAAACGTTCGTAAGTCAAATCAGCATTTCCCATAGTAATGCACTGAAACCCAATTAATCCGTTCCAGCTGTTTTTTTGTTCGTATGTAGAGGTGCCGTTTGTAAGGCAAAGCATTAGTTCCCATAGGAACTAATGCAGAACCGGTTAATCCATCCTCTACCACTAGGGGGAGAATTTTTTTTTAACCTAAGATGACTTAGGTTAAAAAAAGGGCTGGGAGGGAGGGAGGCAACGAACACCTTTAAAACCAAGCAGCTTTAAACCAAACCAAGCACCTTTTAAACCAGTTTTTACATTTTAAAATTACAGTACCAGGCAGTTCAAAGTCCATTTCCTGCTCCCCCTGTGGTTTTTTTTGTTCATAAGTCAAAGCTCCGTTCGCAAGTCAAAGCAAAATTTTGCAAGCGGAGCTGTTCGTAAGTCAAAATGTTCATACGTCAGGGCGTTCTTAAGTAGGGTTGCCAGACGTCCGGCAAAAGGAGGACATGTCCTCCTTTTCAGGATCATATCCTCTGCAAAATTTTGCAAGCGGAGCTGTTCGTAAGTCAAAATGTTCATACGTCAGGGCGTTCGTAAGTAGGGTTGCCAGATGTCCGGCAAAAGGAGGAAATGTCCTCCTTTTCAGGGTCATGTCCTCCGTCCGGCAGGCAAAACTAAAAAACTTCAAAATGTCCGGCTTTTTTATCTGGCAACCCTATTCGTAAGTCAAGGCACCACTAGTAATCTGATATCAATATAGGGGAAAATACAGTATACATACAGATGAAGTATGTGTTGAAAAATTCGGCCTCCCATGCTTGTTGGGCCTGTCTGTCAGGCTTCTGCTGGATCAGCCTGTTCTTTGGTAGCAATGAACGGCTTCCAACATACTAGGCATTCACACAATGCAAAGCAAAATTGTTCAAGGATAGTGGCATCTTGTGTGGGATGGGGGTATTCCTAACCTTAAGAGGGTTGCCATGATG